GGGCTGTGGGCAGGGGGCCATGGGCAGGGGGCCACGTCCAGGGGGCTGTGGGCAGGGGGTCACGTCCAGGGGGCTGTGTCCAGGGGGATGCGGGCAGGGGGCTGTGGGCAGGGGGCCACATTCAGTGGGCCACGTCCAAGGGGCTGTGTCCAGGGGGCCGCATCCAGGGGGCTGTGGGCAGGGGGCCGCGTCCAGGGGGCCGTGTCCAGGGGGTCGCGTCCAGGGAGCTGTGTCCAGGGGGCCATGTCCAGAGGGCTGTGTCCAGGGGGCCGCATCCTGGGGGCTGCAGGCAGGGGCCCACAGGCAGGGGGCAGTGGCCTGGCACACATGGGAGTTGAGCTTCCCTCGAGCCCACGCCTGCCCACTGTGTCCATCTGCACCATGTCCTGTCCCTCTGCCGACCACAGCCCCGCTGACCGTGTTCCAGGCATCGTACACACCCTCGGGTGGCCCCACGACACCTTCGGACCCTCAGAGACGCCTGCAACATGCCCCCACGTGGTAGGAACCCCAGTGGAGAGTGAGGTCACCACAAGCAGGGACAGCGCGTTTGTGGGGGTAACAAACATCCTCGAAATCTCACCAGCCACTTGGGAATGCTGATGTCACTCCAAAATCATCTTCCATCCCCATGATCTTGTCCAGGGCAGGAGTGGGGGAGAGCAAGGGGGCAGGACGGGGCCGGCAGCGTGTGAGCAGCTGACCACTGGCACCCCTCAGTCAGCACCCCAGGAGGGACAGCTCTGCCCCCCAGGAGTCTGCAGTGGCCCTCCGCCCCAGCCCCCACCCTCTGTTCCACAGGCATCCCCCTGTGTCCATCCCACAGCCCTGGAGGCCAGTCGGGAAGCCCCCTGCCCTCATCCCTTCCCCTCGCCTCCCAGGCTGCCCAGATCCAGCCCAACCACCTGCAGCCTTCCCCACCTTCCCTACAGAACGGCCCCAGTCCCCAGGCCGGGCCATCGTGGCCCATGGGCCCAGGAGACAGCAGGATGCAACTCTGCGCCTCGCCTACCTGGACGGCGGCAAGGAGCACGCAGACCTTCTCAGACACCAGGGTACCCACTGCGGGGACCCCAGAGGGCAGCGCAGCCGGGGGCAGGTTCCACCGTGACTCTGGCCACTTTCCCAGGTGGGCTCTGGGGCCACATACTGTCCCCTACTTACCTCTAGCCGGGGTGCCCCAAGCTCTCTCACTGTGGTTTCCTCCCCTGGGCAACGTGGTGATGGTAATGCCAAGTCACGGGGGTGTGTGCGTGGCCTAATACACAGGGTGTGTGGCCATGTGGGAAGGAAGCAGCGGGGACCATGGGCTCACACTCTGCCCCACGCTTCCCCACGCTGCTCATCCTGTGGTCTGGCAGCCGTGTCCAGCTGGGGCTGGGGAGATTGCTGGGCATAGGCTGCTGGATGGCCCCGCACAGAACCCTGGTGTAGCTGGGCACGTGTTAGGAAGACTACATTTTCTCATCTTTCATACAGATTGTGACTGGGTTTTAGCCGATGGAAGGAGAAAGAAGCCTTGCGTGCACGTGCACGTGCATGTGCGTGTGTGTGTGACTTCAGAGACTGGTCTCTAAAGAGACAGGGTGCCCTTCCCACACCCCCCACCCCATTTTGCTAGCTGGAATGAAGATGTAATGGCTGGACTCTAGCAGCCACTTTGGTCCATGAGGTGAACCTGAGGAGAAAGTCATGTAGAACAGAAAAAAATCGGGAGGGTCCTGGGTCCCTAGCCCCGTAGGTCCACCGGCCACACTAGTCCAGATAGCTTCCCTCTGGCCGTGTAGGTCATCAGAGACAAATATGAGTCTATTCTGTTGAACCCATGGTTATTTAGGGCTTCTCTGTTAATCACAGCCAAGCCTAAACCTAATCCTAGGTGACAATTCTAGAGAAACGGAGACAAATTTCTCGGCACAGAGAAATAAGGCAACCACTCCAGGACCACGGAATGCAAGCAGAGGACGAGCTTCTCTTGTGGCCGTGGAGGGGGAGAGGCGGGTTGCTGCCTCCCTGTACGGCCTCCTCCACACAGTGCAGAGGGCAGTGCCAGGCCCCCCTCGAGCACCCCGGGGCTGGGCTTACTCACCAGCACCCCCAGAGCTGCAGAGAAATCTGGGCAGGGTGGATTGTGCTGGCCCAGGCGCCCCAGGGCCATGCAGCTCAGGCTTCGGGCTTCCCGGGATGGCTCCGGGGCCCATGGCCTCTTGGTACCAGCAGGGGACATGGCAGGAGCCAGGTCAGTGCTGAGGGGCACAGAGATGACCTCAGCAGCCAACCCCAGGCCTGCAGATAGGAGCCCGACTGTACCTGGAGCCTGGGGCAGTTCTCCCCAAAACCCAGGCAGCCCAGCCCAGAACTTTCTGGAAGTCTTGCAGCACGAAGGCCTCTGGTTGGTGGCCAGGCCTGCCAGAGGGCCAAGGGGACTGCGAGCCTTGAGCCCCTCTGAGGTCAGCAAGTCTGGGCACCCACCCAGGACAGGGCGCTGCGTCTCAGGCCCCTGCTTACTGCTCTTCCTGCTCAGCTGACCCCCAGGGAGGGTCCAGCAGGGTAGAAAATTCCAGAGGGCAGGGGGCAGCATGGCTGGAAACGTTCACAGCATCTCAGACCTGACTGCAGCCGGGCCCTCACCCAGGCCACTGCAGGGCGGGAGATAGGACGGCCATGTCCACCCCAACCTCCAGCACCTCAGCCAGCTGGGCCTGTGCAGCGGTCGGGGCGGGAGGAGGTGTGGTAGGCAGACAGCGCCAAGGACAGCAGAGCCCCAAGCCGAGCGCCAGCAGCACGGTCTGCGTCTGCACGGGACCCACGTGCATGGGGCTCACGCCCAGGACCTGGGCCTGCACGCCGGACCAGAGGGCTCGCCAGCCTGGCCAGTGGCTCTCTTCCCCAGATGCCAGCTACTCCTGAGAGCAGAGGGAAGGGCCCTGGCAGGAGCCCCAGCAGACTCAGGCCAGGGCACAGGGTGAGCGAGCACAAGTTTCTACTGTTGCAGCCACCAGTGTGTGGTCCTTCGTCTGGCAGCAAAGGACACCGACAGAGCCCCAGGTCTTGACCCTGGACAGCGCACGTCCCTGCCCTGGGAGCGCGCCCCCCGAGACAGAGCCCCAGGCCCCAGGGACGGCGTGCAAGACGAAAGAGGCCACACACCGTGCAGGTTGAATCACTGTGTTTTACTAAGTGCACAGGTCCACTGGGCTCCCAAACAGGTCCCCGTGGCAGTAGAAATTTCCGGAACTTTTCACATGCGTCCCTGCTGCCAGATTCCACCCCTGAAGTCGCTGGGCAAACCCGGGCTGGGCCCTGTTCTTGGGGACAAGTGTGAACCGGACAGTGAGTTGAGCAAGTGAGCGTCTCGGCTGGTCCGTACAAAACTAGAGTTCATTCCCTGGGCGTCTATCCCTAGAAAATGGACAATGCGCGAGTCGAGGGTCAAGTGTGCGGTGGTAACACATTCACGAAAACAGAAAGGCCCGGCGGCTACGGTGCAGGATGCATACACGTGGTTGGAAGTGTACATCAGTACGGAAGGCATCATGAAGAATTCTTTGGAGCATGAACAAAGTGCAGACGACCAAGGCAACAGCGCAGATGGGGGCCGCGGGGCGGCGAACGGCAAGGGTGGGCGCAGGACGGGGTGAGAAGGGTCCCGGTGGACGCACCGCCTGGAGCCCCGCCTGGAGCCCCGGCGGGCGCGAGGCCGGGTCCAGGTCCGCTGCCCGCTCTGCATCCGTCCGTGGCGCTGGTCCCATGGACCAGGAGGAGGCAGGGTCCGGTGTGGGGCCGGGAGACGCCAGGGGCCTGGGGCGATTTCGGTGAATTTCCGTCAACGTGCATTAAGGCAAGACGTTATGAAGCCCGGCCAGAGTTGGGCGTGTGGTGTGGGGGGCCCGGGGTTGAGGCCACCCCCTCAGGGCCCCCTCCCCCTGCACCCGACCTGGGCGATCCCCAGGGTCTCCCTGGCGTCCTCCACCAGCCAGGGACATGCACGCATCTGTCCAAGAGCCCACCCAGCTCCTCCAATCCCCCGGATGCCTCTGAGCGGTTGACGGAGGGTCTCACCTGCCAGGGAGCATGTCTTCCTCACTCTCTCTACCCTGTTTGCTAAAGCCACTCTCCCTCCAATGTCTCCTCCTGGGGTCTGCTGTCAGCCCCCACCCCACCCCCAAGATGGCATATCCAGAGAACCGTGGCCCCCACTCGCACACGCTCCAGGGGCTACCCAGTGTCCTGGCCTGGACAGCTGGCTTTCCTGGGTCTCTTGGATAGAAGAAAGGAGCAAGCCCCCGGTCCCAACCACACTGCCTCCTTCAGGAAGCCTTCCCTGGTTGTCCCTCCTACTTAGTGCTTGGCAGGGGCCCAGCGGAGCCTGCCCCTGGGGGCAGGAACACAGGAGGGCAGCTGGCCTGGGACAGCACACAGCCTGCCCTGGGTGCTAGAAGCAGGCAGCCCATCACTTCTGGGCCCCACCCGGCCCTCCTGCCCCTCACCCAGCATCAGTCCATCCAAGCAGGTGGCCTGAAGATCTGCTCCGGGGTCACGGAAGGCAGCTGAGGACCACTCAGGACAGCGTCGGTCAGGGAAGGGCATGTCTGATTCTGAGCCAGTGAGCACTGGGTGGCACCAGGGGCACGGAGCCCCACCGGCTGCTAGGGACTCAGCCACCCTGCTGGGTTGCCCCCAAACCCTCCATGGGCTGTCAGACCGTCCCTCTGCACACCGTGTTTATTTCAAGGGCTCGTGACATCAGAGGGTGGGACGCCGTGTCGTCACTCTGGTCTTGCAGTGTGACATCAGGGACAAGCGCCCGCCGCTCTGTACATTATTTACAATTTGGGGAATACAAAATAGATACAAACATCAGCATTTCTACAAAGGCCTCCCAGGGGCCGTCCACACCTCTGAGCTTCAAGAAGCATCTAGAAACGTCTCAGGGCCAATTCCATCCACAAACAGCATAGGCGGGGGGCACCTGCTGTACGGAGTGCCCCCCGAATGTGGGGGCCGGCAGAAGAGAGGATGCCGCCCCCTTCTCTCCTGCGTTAATGTGTTGAATCCGTGACCACCGGGGGACTCCAGCCTAGTACGAGGGGAGAAGGTCAGTTAAACTAAACCACCGTGTTAAAGACGCCGACCCTGCCTGGCTGGCACGTGCGGTCTGGGCTGGGGAACTAGGGCTGGCCGCGGGGCACGTCCCGACACCTCTGCTAGGCTTCTACAGAGCAGCCCCTGCAGTGTGGGGTCCCGGAGCCTCCAAACAGGGGCTTGAGGCCAGTGCCTGCAGAGGAGGGGACGACTGGCCTCCCATAGGGAGGGGAAGGGGGGGCAGGCCAGGGGGAGCCTCTGCCATGTGGCCAGGGCCCCTCCGTCCTCCAGGGAACCTAGTGAGGCCACGGCCCATGAGTTTACGTGGACGAGGGGGAGATGTGGGGCCACAACATGCCAGGGAAGGAGGAGACAACACCCACGTGGCCAAGGAGGCAGAGGGAGCCAGCCAGGGCCCCAGGGTCACAACTGGACACCCAGACCTCCCTGGCCCAAGCTATGTCGTGGCATCCAGCTGACCAGAGGCTCTGGACAGCTGCTGGGCCAGCAGAACCCCAGCCAAGGGCCACCTGTCACTCAAAGTTGCTCATTCCTTGGAGCTTAAAGTGGGCAGACCCAGACAGAGATCAGACGGAGGGCCACCGCCATCAGGAACGCCATGTGCGCACATGAGGGCAAGTGTGTGCGTGCGCACATGTGTGTGCACATGTGTGAGCTGAGTGTGAGCACAGGAGTGTGGGCTTGTGAGGGGCGCAGACTCCAGCCCAACCCTTGTCTTAGGAAACCTTTGCTGCACCTGCCAAGGGGTGACAACTGCCCTGAGCCACACTCGCGTCACACACACGCCCCATACCCGTTCCGTGGAAGTACCAGCCTCCTTCTGCTGTTCTTCTCCGAAGGGGGGGCCCCAGGGCAGGGACGCACACTGCTCAGACCTGGGTCTGCGCGTCCCAAGAAGGCGTCCCGACAACACCATCTCCCCAAACTGTGCCCCTAGACCAGCCTCCCTTCCAAGGGGTCAGAGACTCCACGCAGGAGACCTCACACCCTCCCGTGGATGCAGGACCTGCCGGCGGGCTAGCCCGTCCCCCCGGCTGCAGCCTGGGAGACCCCCCACCGCCCATCCGAGGCCAGCTCCTCAGCCTCCGGGGCGCACGGCACAGGGAGTGTGTGGGACAGCAGTCTTTCTGTGGGGATGAAGGGCCCCTCTTCCCAGGGCCTGAAGCCCCCGACAGGGGAGGGGTCCCTGTTGCTGGCACCACGGCTCTAACTCTCCCAGGGCCTCGAGAAAGGCTGGCTAGAGCTGGGGACGGATGTGGTCGTGTCACCCCATGGCTCATGCCCTGCCCGGGGGCCTACAGCCCGAGTCCCCCATGGTGGGAGGGTGAAGGGGGCTGAGCCCAGAGGGAGGCAGTGATGGGAGGACCACGACACACAGGCCACACCAGGTACCCACATTATCCGCACAGGCAGGGACTTTTCTCATCACTGTGAGGCCCAAAGCCAGAGAAACACTGCCCTCAGGAACAAGGTTCATCAGTGCGAGGGAAAGCCAGTGTGGCCTCCCTTCCAGGCCACGGGGCCACTTACTTCCACGCCTGCCTCTCCCGGAGGCTGGGAAGGGGGACATCCTCATGCTGGAGCCCTGACATGAGCAGCGGTTCCCAACTCTGAGCCTATGGCTTCCCACTCTGGGCAAGGACAGGCCGGCCCAACCTCTGGCTGCCCATCAGGCAAGGAGGTGCCCACGGCAGGACCCGGGGTGTTCTGGCAAGGGGAGGGGGCAGGGCCTACAGCCGTGGCCCCTGCCTGGCCAACAGACATCACTCCCCAAAGCTCTCTAAGCACCAGGACCCCATGCCCAGAGCCCAGGACCCTCAGATACAGCTCTCCACACCCTTCCCAGAGGACAGGACCGACTCTCTCACTGACCACTTCTGGTCCAAGTCACAACAAGGCTGTCCCAGAAGCTAGTTTTCTGGGGAAGTCGTTCCGTAGCGGGCCTCGCTGCACCCAGCCCTAGTGCACCAGAGGTCACTGCCTCAGAGAGAGTGTCAGGCACCCAGATTTATGGTTCCCAATGCCAGATGCCCCCCCCACCGACTGCTGAGGGCCCAGAAAGGAGATCCCAAAGCTGGTGTCCCTGGGGTTGAGGTGCCTACCACAGGAGAGATGGGGGCCCTGCTCCCTGAGGCCCAGAGTGGAGATGGGCATCCCTGACTCCCAAGAAGTCACAGCCAAGGGACAGGTCAGTGGAGAGCAGGGGGGCAGATGGTCAGCCCTAGTGGGGACAATTAGGCTTCCTACAGGATAGAGCTGCTTCAGCTCCACGGAGGGAGGGAATCTCACCAACCCCTGAGGGGCTTTGAAGGCTTTTCCCAGGAGTTAGAGCATCATCACCCAGCCCTGGGTCCTGCCGAGGCACCAGTGAGGGACCACCACAACCCGCCTGGCCCTGGGACCCGGAAACAGGATCCCAGCCCAGGGGATGCCCCCAGCACGCTCCCTGCACACGGGTCTCCATTTCAGTGCTGGCCGTGGCCTGGCGGCCGGAGCCCAGCCAGAGCAGAAGAGAGAGAACACAGGGATGCCCATCCCCAGATCTCCTGTGGCTGGGGGAGCCTCCAAGGACCCTCCTCCAGAAGACTGTGGAGCAGCCCCTCCCCTCAGGAGCCAACGCTGGGAGGTCCTGAGGCCCCACCGTTTCCTCTCCAAGCCAGCATCCTGGACTTGGGATTGGCTCAGAACCCGGGGTTGGGGGGAGATGGCGCTGACCAGCAGCTCTCTGGAAGTCACCCATCACGCCTGCCTGCCCTGCGTGGACTAGCGGGGGCAGGGACGGAGGGACAAGGACAAGCCACGCCCCAGGGGCCAGCGTACCCCCTGCCGCCATAGCCACAGGCCCAGGCTCCCTCCCCACCAGGCCTCGAGGCCACCCATTCTGCCCCCTAGCTGCCACCCTCACCCGGGCCCTGCTCCTCGGCCCCAGGCCTCCCCCCTACCAGCATGGGTCTGTCCTCAGCCATCAGCCCCGCTCACACCCGGGCCAACGGTCTCAGAGTGGGCACAGCCGGCCTGGCTGCCCCTTGTTAAAAAAGAACTTTTGTTGGCCTGCAGTGCGTGAGACCAAGGAGCCCCCCGCCTGCCTGTCGCCTCGCACAAACCCCCCACCCATGTCGCTCTAAGGAAAGGGCCCCAGAGAGTCCCATCTGCAAACCTGGAAGGCCAAGAGTCAGGGAGAGGCCGGCGGGCAGCCTCATTTCCGGGGCCCGGCCCAGCCCACATCGCCGAAAGGGCCCTCCCCAGTGGCGGAGCGCGGCGGGGGCCCGCACGGGGTGCAGAGGTCCGAGTCTGTGTCCGACTCGCCCTCCGCGATGTAGGGTCTGACTTTGGCGCAGGGCGCCACAGCCGCGTAGCAGCTGTTGAGCGCGTCCAGGTTCTCCTTGGACTGGGAGATGCTGAAGCCGCTGAAGGAGCGCTCCAGCTCCTCGTGGTCCACGGACGGGATGGAGATGGACGTGTCGCTGTCCCGCAGGGCGCCCTCGTGCCTCAGGAACTCCGTGCTGGCCCTGTTGCCCCCACTGTAGGCAGACAGCGACCGCTCGTGGGCAGGCGGGGGCGGGATCCTCACCAGAGAGCCATGGTCCCCCACAGGGGAGGTGCCGTGGCCCTGGCGTGTGTGACATTGCTGTTGCCACGAGGTGGAGGGTGGGCACTGGGCTGGGGGCCCGGCCGGAGGCGCCGAAAAGTTCTTCTGGCCCCCGGAACTGGCAGAGCGGATGAGCTTGATGATGCAGCCATTCCTGTCCCCGTGCTCCCGGCTGTCCTCGGGGCTGTGGTAGGGCGGCGCTGGTTCTGGCTCCTTGGCCCCAAAGTAGGCCTCCGTCTCCGTCGGGGGGATGCCCATGCGCTGCATATAGATGTTCACCAGGAAATCCAGCTTCTTCTCCATGGACAAGACCTGCAAGGGGAGCTACTGGACCAGGCCTGGCGCTCTCCAGAGGTGGGGACCCCGGGCTGCTCCCGGGAGGTGGGGGGACCCTGGACTGTTCCCTGGAGGTACAAGGACTCCAGGTTGCCCCCCACAGAGGTACGGAAGCAGTGGGAAGCAAACGCAGCAGGAGCTCAGCCTCTGGCCCCACCCATCAGTGTGTGTGGCCCCTTCGGATAAACCCCACAGCTCCTTTCGTTGCCTCCCAGAAGCAGACCCCGAGTGCAAGGTCTTATGCATGGCCCCTGAGGACCAGCTCCCAGGAGAGGGCAGGGGCCCACCCTGGAGCTCCAGGACCTGCCTGCAGAGTACGTCTCAGCCCCTCCTACCTGCTTCTCCACCTTCCCCAGCCGGCCCATCATGCTGGGGTCCTCAGGCAGCTCTGCCTCAGCCGGGCCCTTGGTGCGGTCCTTGTCGGTGATCGCCGGGCCCCGCCCCACGATCTGGTCCACTCTGCCGGGAAGAGACCCCACCCCCCAGCATGAGCTCGGGTGGGCACGGTGGGGCCCGTGGCCCTCTCCTCCTGGGCCAGGCCACGGCCCCCCAGATCCAGGCTCCAGGCTGAGCCCAGAGCCGACCGGGGGGGCAGCAGGGTGCCAGGACAGGTGGACGTGGGGCAACTGGTCTCACCCTGCTCTCTGAACCTGAGGGGCTCCCATTCCGTTCCAGTGGGCTGGCACATTAGCAAGGAGTAAAGTGGAGGGATTGGGACCACGTGCCCCTCAGCTCCCCTCCCCCATGCCCTGCCCCCACCTCTGAGCTTTACTCCTACACAATGTGCCACGTGGTCCTCAGCCCAACGGGGGTCTGGGGAGGGCAGAGTGCCACGTGTGTGGCAGGAACAGAAGCAGATGACCAGAGCCACACCTCCATGCACACCAGATGGGGGAGGGGCACGGACCAACACAGGAAACCGCCAACGCACCATGGAGGGGGCAGACAGAGCCACTGCCAACCAGGGGGAGTCTGTGTGTGCTTGCTGCACGTGTGCGCGTGAGCTGTGTGTGCTTGCTATGTGTGCACGTGAGCTGTGTGCTTGCTGTGCATGTGTGCATGAGCGTGTGTGTGCACGTGAGCTGTGTGTGCTTGCTGTGTGCACGTGAGCTGTGTGCTTGCTGTGCATGTGTGCATGAGCGTGTGTGTGCACGTGAGCTGTGTGCTTGCTGTGCATGTGCGCATGAGCGTGTGTGTTTGTTGCGCGTGTGCATGTGAGCTGTGTGCTTGCTGCATGTGTGCACGTGAACTGTGTGCTTGCTGCACGTGTGCGTGAGCTGTGTGTGCTTGTTGCACGTGAGCTGCGCTTGCTCCACGTGTGCACATGAGCTGTGTGTGCTTGCTATGTGTGCACGTGAGCTGTGTGCTTGCTGTGCATGTGTGCATGAGCGTGTGTGTGCACATGAGCTGTGTGTGCTTGCTGTGTGCGCATGTGAGCTGTGTGCTTGCTGCGCGTGTGAGCTGTGTGTCCTTGCTGCGCGTGTGTACGTGAGCTGTGTGCTTGCTGCGCATGAGCCATGTGTGCTTGCGTGCTTGTGCATGTGTACGTGTGAGCTGTGTGCTTGCTGTGCATGTGCGCATGAGCATGTATGTGCTTCCTGCGTGTGTGCACGTGAGCTGTGTGCTTGCTGCGCGTGTGTGCATGAGCTGTGTGTGCTTGCTGCGCGTGAGCTGTGCTTGCTGCACGTGTGCACGTGAGCTGTGTGCTTGCTGTGTGTGAGCTGTGCTTGCTGCATGTGTGCACGTGAGCTGTGTGTGCTTGCTGTGTGTGCACGTGAGCTGTGTGTGCTTGCTGTGTGTGCACGTGAGCTGTGTGCTTGCTGCGCGTGTGAGCTGTGTGTGCTTGCGTGCGTGTGCATGTGTGCACATGAGCTGTGTGCTTGCTGTGCATGTGCGTGTGAGCGCATGTGTGCACGTGAGCTGTGCGTGCTTACTGTGCATGTGCACGAGTGTGCCTGAGCTGTGTGCTTGCTGCACATGTGCACGAGCCGTGTGCTTGCTACACATGTGCACGTGAGCTGTGTGTGCTTGCTGTGTGTGCACGTGAGCTGTGTGCTTGCTGTGCATGTGCGCGTGAGCGTGTGTGTGCTTGCTGCGTGTGTGCACATGAGCTGTGTGCTTGCTGCGCGTGTGCACGTGAGCGTGTGTGTGCTTGCTG